CATGATATTACTAGTTTACTATTTACTGCACATGATATTACTAGTTTGTGCAGCCAGAATTTGAGTCCGGGCTCACTGGTTCCAGAGACTGTAATGTCCAGTCCATGCATTGCTGAGGTTCCCATTACCGTTACCCTACACACACACACACACACACACACACACACACACACACACACACACACTATTACTTTTCTCATCCTGTGATGATGGCTACTATAGAAATACTTTGCAGAGACAAGCATGGCTAGTACAGTTCTCACCTCTCCATATGGCTGAAAAGTCTTTTCTGCTAGTTTGCACTTTCCTACATTACAAGTATTCAAAGAGACTCAGCTGCTTAGGGTTCTATATCTAACTTTCAGACCTTGGTCTAACGCTGGTTTTTGTGGCGTTTGAGCCCCAGTGAGCTGTAATAAGCCTGAATTAGTTTTTGGCACTAGAGTATTCTTAGGAGATCCGAAGGTGTTCTACGGACCCTAGCCATTTCCTTCCCTCAGAGGCCAACAGTAGTTACCTTACTGTTTTGTTGGTTCAGTGATATAAGGAGAATATTTACTTTTCTACATATGGGAGAGTTACAGTCTCAGGACTGTGAGCTTTTCTAGAAAAGCATTGCTGACATTTGCTACTGACACCAGCGCAGCATCCATGCCCACCAAGTCCAGCTTGGGAAATGGAAGGAGCCCTGCCAGTGCGGGATTCGTGGAGTCTGGAGGCTCAAAGGCAGCTACATGTCTGAAATGCCTACCTCAGCTCGGGTGAGGATTCCGGAAAGCTGAACCTCTGCTGCTCAATGCAACACTCTCCGGCCGCAGTCCCTGTTCACCCCAGTTGTCGACAGCTTCTTCAAGCTTGGAGGTGGAGGTCGGGACCTAGAGAATCTTGTTAGTTTCAGTTTTCGCCGGATTTGTCCGGTTTACTTCCTGAATCTCTAGCGCCCCACCCCTCCCTCCTGGAGGAATGTTTCAATTCCGAGGAAATGGCCCCAGGGCTGGTTCATCAAACCCACCCCGGAAGGGCGGGCCGACAGCCAAGGACAGGATTCTGTGCCTTACTATTTTCTAAAACACAATTATGTTGGGTGTAGGAAGTACTGTCACCCCCAATCCCCAGGAGCTTTCTGACTCTTAACTTTCTGAGGTGCAAACTTCAGGGGCAAAGGAGCCACAGAGCCCTCTTCTGGTAGGCTGGAGTACAGCAGCAGCCTCAGGAAAAAAAAAAAAAAAAAAAAGAAAAAAAGAGGAAAAGAGGCTGAAGCACTAAAGCCCAGGCCAAACAAAGCACTGTTGGTAGGTGGGTGGGAGAGGCAGCAGTTGGCTGCCAAGGTCACCATAGCAACCAAGAACAGGCCGAGACTTTCTTATTCTTTTTCTTGGCTAAGACAGACAGCTGGACCTGATTGTCCACTTTTAGTTGGAGGACTGACTTGGGTGTTCTTCCTCTCCTGCTACCATTTTCATAGCTCTGCCTGGATTGACCCTTTTTTTGTTGATCTTATTGCATTCTTACGCCTGGCCAATCAAGGCCACGCTGGCACTCTGGCAGTCCTGTAAATTTGGATGTTCTGGGGCTTCAGAGCCAGTTGTTGCCTGAGCCAGTGGAGGAAGAAGAGAAGGAAGAAGAGAACCATCAGACTTCAGAACGTTGGCCCTGGCCACATTGGTCAGGAGTGAGGAAAGACTCACAAGGCATAGACCCACGGAAGGCTCGCAACACTCCAAGCCTCTACCTCCATCATGGAGCATGAGGAGCCAGCCTGCAGTATCCAACCTGCGGAGAGACTCATTTCTGTTTCCCCCTTGAAGCCTCCAGGCTCTGCCTGACTGCGATGGTAGTTTGCTGTGACCCTGACCAAAAGCAACTTGGGGAAAAGGGTTTATTAACCTTACACGCCCACATCAAAGTCCTTGAGACAGGAACTGAAGTAGAGGCAGTAGAGGGAGGGGCCTTTCTTACTGGCTTATTCTTGTTTTGTTCAGACTACTTCCTTATAGTCACCAGCTCATGGGGTGCCACTTATAACCAGTCAACTTGAGGCCTCCCACAGCAAACATCAATCAAGAAAATTCAGGACAGGCTTGCCCTCAGGCCAGTCTGCGGAAGAAGGCATTTCCACAGTTGGGGCTTCCTCCTCTAAGATGACTGTATTGAGTTGGTATGAGGCTAACCAGCACAGCTGGAGATGGACATTTGTCTCTGCAGCTGCTTCTGGCTTCCAAGACCTGGGGCCCCACCCCTCAGTCCGTCCCACAGCCCCAGGCTTCCAGGTGGTTTGATACCCCTGGCTTGCAGACTTTCTCTGTAGCAGGTTGTTCTCAGCAGACTCCTCCACCTTCTGAGAACTTTTGAGTGCTAAGCCCTTCCCAGAGCTGTAGCGCTTCCTCCCTGTAACGGCTCTCCTCTCCGCGGGTATCCCCTGCTATTAAGAGTTCAAACTTGTTTCATTTAAGTCTTTCCTGGTGATCCTTTTTCAGGTGCTTTATCCCATTTAAAGGTTGTGAATTCCAAACTTGCAGAGTACTTCCTATTTGTACTCTTTGCTGTCTGCCCACTCTCTTCTTGGAGAAGGCTGGGACAAGGAAGAGCCTGTCAGAAACATAATCAGATCTTCAATTGTTTGTGCATAATACTTTCCGCTGTCAAAAGAAAGTGGTGCTTTTGTCGGATAAGGTTAAAGTGACCCCAGAAACACAGTAAATTGTATGAACATAGGAATTATATGTGCAGCAGAATCTCTAGTTTATATGAGATTTTCTTTAGCCACAGAAGAGAACATTACTAAGTCTGGCTGTAGTTGTTACTGTGTGCTGTACTTGTAACTGCTGCTCTTTTGGCTATGTAGATTTCTAAGAGGGGAATCTTCAAGTATAATATCTACTAATTCACTTTGTTGGAAAGATAAGCATTTAGGTATTAATTCTGTAGCTTTATGGGCCATGGCTGATGACTGGAATGGTTGGTCAGGGGCTTAGTATCCAATCATTACGAGATGTATTAAGATCCACTAGGATTCAGTGGATAGTTTCCAAACCAATGGACGCACAGAGGAACCTGTTTAGACTAAGTAAATCACAAAACAAAAGCCATGAATCTAGGAAAGGGGCTGGTAGGGATGGGGGGGGCTTGACAGGAAAGAGGGAGGTAAGGGGGATATTGGGGAGCGAGTCTATACCATGTACCCATATGAAATTCTCATACAGCAGAGCAAATGAGAAATAAAAAGTGACGATAAATGGGAAGGCAAATAGAGGGTTCTCTGAGAATAATCCATGTTTTTCTTGGTATATTCATCATATTTATTGATGAGTGTCTTTTTTGGGGTGGGTTTTGTTGTTGTTTTTGTTTATGTTTTTTGAGACAAGGTTTCTCTGTGTAACAGCCCTAGTTGTCCTGGAACTATCTCTGTAGATCATGTTGGCCTCCAACTCACAGAAATCTGCCTTTCTCTGCCTCCTGAGTGCTGGGATTAAAAGCCGTGCCACCACTGCCTGGCCTATTGATGAGTTTTATGAAGCTGTTTTGACTTAAGTGTACCATGTGCTTTGACCATATTCATCTCTATATCCTCATCTTTTCCAGTTCCCACTTATAGTCTTCTTCCTATTCCCAGGTAGTCTCATTGTCTCATTTATCCTTTTACACAAAATACGCAGAGAGAGAGAGAGAGAGAGAGAGAGAGAGAGAGAGAGAGAGAGGGACGGAGGGAGGGAGAGAGAGAGAGAGGGAATATATAGGTCTAAATGTATACTCTGGGATCCACATTTAAGAGACAACATTTTTTTTTTGAGTATAGCTTATTTTGCTTAGCACCATCTCTACTTGCATTTATTTTCCTGCAAATGGCGTAATTTCTTTCTTCCTTTAATGGTTGATTAAAATTCCAGGTGTGTGTTCATACCATATTTCTTTCCTGTTAACATATGCCAAGGCTGGCTCCATAATTTGGATATTGTGAATATTACAGTGAAATGGATGAACTGGTTTTGCTGACTTAGATTTCTTTGGATATATTCCCAGGAGTGGTACCTCTGCTTATTATGATGGTTTGCTTGTAGCTTTGTGCGGATTTTTCTGTGAAGAAGGTCATTGGAATTTCTGTGGTGGTTATCTGGATCTGGAGATTACTTTTGGCAATAGAGGCAGTTTTTCAATATTAATTCTCATGAATATGGTTGGTCTTACAGATAAAATAATCCTATACTTAAGAGATCTTGAAATATCTACAGAAAAATAAGAAGTGATAAACACTTTTAGTAAAGTAGAACGATTTGAAATTAACCATGCAGAAATCAGTGCCTTTCTTATGTACTAGGAGGAAAAGTGTTAGGAAGAAATCACAAAGGAAAAAAACAAAACAAAAGAAAACAAAAAAGCTAGAACTAAGCCTAACCATGGAAGTCCAAGACCCCTGTGACAGAAAGTCTCAAACACGAACATGGCAGGTGAGAGTAACTTTGTCTTAAATGAATTCTCAATAAAGGACTGTTTGCTTCTGCAAAGGCGACAAAGTTAACCCCTGTTGTGATGGATCACCTTTCCTCCCCTCTCCTGAAACCTGCCCAAATGGGATGGTGGACAGAAGGACCCCATGAGAACGCACAGTTATTTTTGTCAAAATAAGAACAAAATGGGATTTTTTTTTTTAAAGCAAGTGTATTTACTGGAAAATTCTAGGAGCTTGCGTGCAGTTCTTGTGGTTCGTTTTGCCAGATATCCTGGTAGTCCTCAGTCTGCCACTGAAATGTCACTGGTGTTGAGTTTGTTGGGTTAGAAACCCGACTTGCGCAGAATGTGGTGACTGAGATTCAGGTTTTATTTCTGCCCTGGGTCCCACAGATCTGGCTGAGTTGATAAGTAGTTCAGAGTCATACACAAACAGTACCTGCCATTTTCAAAGGTCAAGGAGGCAAAAATGACACATCACACTGCTGTCTTGGTGGTAAGCTGGTATGGGAGGTCCTTCTGTCTTTGTGCTGCTTTCATTGGTTAATGAATAAAGAAACTGCCCTGGCCCGTCGATAGGGCAGAACTTAGGTAGGTGGGAAAGACAGAATTGAATTCTGGGAGGAAGAAAGCAGAGTCAGAGAGGTGCCATGGATCAGCGCCTGAGACAGACGCTAGTTAGAATCTTTGCTGGTAAGCCACTGCTACATGACGATTCCCATATTAATAGAAATGGATTAAATTAATGCAAGAGTTAGCCAATAAGAAGCTAGAGCTAATGGGCCAAGCAGTGATTTAATGAGTACAGTTTCTGTGTGACTATTTTGGGGCTGGGTGGCTGGGACAAACAAGCGGTTGCCCCCTGCAACAGTAAGTACTAGTAGATTGAGCATCTTATGAAGCATCTTCGGGTTACTATTTAAACATTTCCTGCTAATAGTAGTTGGAGGTTTTACTTAGATGGTTAGCCTCTCAATTTTTAAGCATCTCTTACCCTCTAGTTGTTGAAATATTTAGAGGGAGGTACTTCTTCCTCACTCATTTACTATTGTATTAACATGATGGCCTCTTAGGTGGGACCACATTTGAGGCTGTCTTTGTCTAAATTTGTAAATTATGATAGCTGCATTGCTGTCCATGCTCGGTGGAAGCACATACCTTGTGGTATATATATTGACCAAGTCAGCAGTGCAATTGTATAAACTGCACCTGACACATTCTTGTAAAGAGAGCTTATATTATAATGTATTTTATTGCACATGATGGACAGATGCCTATGCCCAGTTACGTTTTAACTGGGCATAGGAAAACTCAGCACTGAGTAGTTTGGGCAGATATTCCAATTCCCCAGTTGGGTATGAGAAGTTTGTTTACTGCAGCACATATCTGTTTTTAGTGTGTCACAGGGTTTTGAAAGTAATAATAAAGATGTGAGTAGCTTCTGCTTGTACGAGGAGCCTTAGGAACACCTCTGGCTGCTCATTGACACCTTGTATTTCTCCCTTCCTCTCCAGTAGGTACAAATATGGCTCTTAAATTGGGACTGTTTTATTTCGGAATATACTTTAGGGATTTCTGTATTTCTTTATAAAAAGACCGCCTTTGACATCTAGAGAGAAAAAAAAATACAATGATTTTGAGGACTGTATAAAGAGTAGACCTCTACGGGTGCTTCAGTGTCTAATGGGGATGCAGAA